CCCTGGTCTTCCTGCTCAACGTTGTTGCTGTAGACACAAGATACATACTTTACTCCCCCCTCCCTACACCGTTATTCACAGAACACTTACGTCTCCACTTACGAGATCATTACCTCTCACCTCCATCATGGCGGCTTAGTCTGTGTTTACTAAACAGTTTACGAGCTCCCAAGCGCTACGATATCATGCACAACAATGACCTTGGTGTCAGGACCTTTGGAGCTCATCAACTTTGTTAGTAAACATAGTCGCCACAAAGGAGGTTCAGATCTCGCAAGTGGCCAGGGGCCAAATTCACGAAAGCACTTACGCAAACACCTACGAACCTGTACATCTTTTCTCAATCTTTGGCGGCTTTGTTTACAATTATTAAACAGTTAATGAGCTCCGAAGCACCAAGAGGCTATTTAGAACAATAACAACAGTTGAATGGGAAGTTTTCATGCTTGTAAACTGTTTAATAAATGTAACCAAAGCCGTCAAAGATTGAGGAAAGATGTACACGTTCGTAAGTGTTTGCGTAAGTTCTTTCGTGAATCTGGCCCCTGGTGAGTATAATACAGAAGGCCAAGAAGTACCTATCCATAGCGAATGTACTATTTATCAACCTCAGTTTCCTACAGCATGACAGATAGCACAAAATCTCTACTCAAAAAATATATATTAAAAACAGAAAAAGTTTGAATTTGTTTTTTTTTAAATTATCAGAGGACACATTAAAGGTTATAATATGTAATATGCAATAAATAAAGTCCATTACAGTTGTTGATTTTCAAGCCTTGGTAATTCCTTGCTGGGGATTGATGCCTAATAATTACCTTTCCTCATCCATGATAAGTTTAAGACATTTGGCCTCAGTATTATTATACAGTAATACAATATATAACAGAGGAATTATATCATTGGTATTCTCTGTGGAAAACCAAAAATGAAGACCTAATGGTTAGCGAAGTGTGTATACATGTTGTAGACACATTGAATATAAAAATGATGTTGTAGACACCTTCTACAACACGGAGGAAGAATTGTAGGTGTTGTAGAAGGTGTAGATACCTTCTACAACACGGAGGAAGAATTGTAGGTGTAGACATCTTCTACAACACCTTGAATATGAATCCATTTTGAATATAAGAAAAGAGCACCTGTAGCCATTATGTTGACGTTCGTCCCACGTGTTGATAACAACCGCAGTAGGAGTCCGGGGTGTGGCGGGCTTGAGGTAACTGCCGCTGTACTGGTTAACCTGGCGAGGTTTGATCACTGGGTTCGACCCCACGAACTGGTTGTAGTTAGGGGTCGGCCTGTAACTGCTGCTTCCTGCGAACCGGTTGTAGGACGGTACTGGTGCTGGTACTGGTACTGGTGCGTTGTTCCTGCTCTCGTCACCTCCCTTCTTGGCTTGCAGAGCTAAAATACACACATAAAACAGGTCTAACAAGAGCATCCTCACGAAACATATCTAGTCAGCACATGCTTATTAGCCACATCTAACAACATAACAGATACAAACTGGTACAACTTTAGATCCATCATATCTGGTCAAACTTAATTTTCAGGAGTATTTTTACCTTAGTGTTTTACAACACTAAGGTAAATAATACTTAGGTCAATATTGTGTTTACATCAAATTATATTTTCGTATAAAAGAAAATAATTTGGAAGCAATGAAGTGACTTGAACCCGCATTCTGGTGAATCCCACACACCTTCCATAGCCGACTCAGCCACGATGGTACAAAGGTCGATCAACCTGGAACTCTACTGAATTCACTGGGAGGTCCTGGAGGTCCCAAACCAGAGCCCAACCAGGGTTTTACAGTCGACCCGACCACACTCTGGCTAGCAGTAATGGCGTTCACACTCTTACGCCACACTCAGATTACAAATAAATCCCATTGGCGTGATATATAAAATGAAAATCAAAAATATTTTCATTGATAAATCACGCCATTGTGATTTCTTTTGCGACATTCTCGTATAGATGTGTACTGAGAAGCGCTGGTTATCGGGTTGCGATTAGCTCTGGTGAATTAAATTAATTTAATTCCTATTGTTTCTCGTCGTATTTGTTAATTTAATTTGTCGCGACAATCATTCGACTCTCCCTGTATATCACACCAATTATTTTGTGTTCATACAGTAAATAAGTTTTTCTTATTATCTTTCTGGCACGTGTATTTCTCTAGTTTACACCCGTACGTTCTAGACCTGCTGAAACCCCTTTTCAATATTTCTTCTGTTCACTCTGCCAATTTGCCTTAGTATCTTGTACGTTGCAAACATATCTCCCTAATTTCTTTTTTTCCTTCACTGGGGGTGAGGTTGAGTTCTCTCAGATGATCTCTGTAGTTAAGTCCCCTAAGCCCTGACAAAGTGTAACTTTTTAGTGATATTTAACTAAAACCCTTTTCTCTAGCTTGAAAGGCTGGGCTATAAGTTTGCACTGTGAAATCACCAGAACTTGATGCATCAAGGAAAAAAAAAGATTTTAAGCTCATCAT